CAACGACTGCGTCGGCCCGTGGAAGACTGTATACACCTTCCCTTTATCAACGAGGAACTCGTTCGTTTTCGAGTGCACCATGCGAGACACAGCTGTATCAGTCGGCTCTTCATCATGCACTAAGAATCGATAAATCTGCCCGATGAAGGGGTCCTCCTGCTGCATGCGGGAGACCTCCTCATCCGACGGCCACAACATTGTCGGCTTGCCTTCCAGCGGGTCAGCTACATCCGCTGACTCATCAACCGGATCTGGGAAAGGATCATCTTCATCAAGGCCAGCCACTGCACTGTATGCATCCCAAAAGGACGCACCAATGAGTGCACTGATGTTGGCGAAGCGACCATGAGGCTTCCGCGAGAGCGCGTCAGCATCACGGTGCATCGACCCTTGCTTATGTCTCACGGAGAAATCCATGTCTTGCAGCAACAAGCTCCAATTCTGGATCATCCGATTTCTGTCTCGTTATGAACGGATCCACTGAAGTGCAGAATAATCCGTCTTGACGATGAAGTGACGTCCCTCCAGGTACGGACGGAACGTTTTGCAAGACCAATACAACGCATAAGCCTCTTGCTGTGTAGGCCATCAAGCTTGACGTGTTGAGTCAAGCTTCTCTGAGATGTATCCAATCGGATGCTCATGGCCGTCGTCGTCTTCCTGCACGAGGACAGCTCCAACGCCGACGCCACTTGCATCGCACTTGACGATGAAGGTACGACTGAAGTCAGGCATAGCGAGGATCGGAGGATCACACAATGCCTTCTTGAGCTTCCAGAACGCCTCCTTCATCTCAGGAGTCCATTCGAATGTCTTTGGCGCTTTAGTGCTGAGTGCCGCGCTCAAGGGAGCAGCGATTGTTGCAAAATTCGGCACAAAGCGACGGTAATACGAGCAAAGACCATAGAAGGTATGCAGCTCCTTCTGTGTCTTCGGCAGTTTCCAGTCCTTGACTGCCTGAATCTTTGATGCGACAGGCTCAAGACCTTTCGCACTGATCATGTGTCCAAGATATTCCATCCGTCTCGTGCCCAAAATGCACTTCTTTGGCTGGAACTTAATCCCAGCTAGCTTGACACGATCCAGGACCTCACGCAGACGGGTGCACAACTCATCATGCGTGCGTGCCATCACACACACGTCATCAAGGTAAACCAGGCATGTCTGCCATTGCAGACCAGCGAGACACACCTCCATGAAGCGCTGACAAGTAGCCACCGAGTTCTTCAAACCCATGGGCAGGTACAGATACTCAAACTGGCCCATGCCAGCCACTGCAAAGGCTGTCTTTGGTATGTCTTTCTCTGCCATAGGGATCTGATGGAAACCCTTGGCCAGGTCCAAACAACAGAAATGCACGTTGCCTGCCAACGCATCGAGAGCGTCATCAATGCGAGGCAACGGATACTTATCGGCCACTGTGATCTCGTTCAGCGGACGATAATTTAAACAGAATCGCCACGACCCATCCTTCTTCTTCGCAAGCACTACTGGAGCGCAATACGGAGAGCTGGACGGTCGCACCAAACCCAAGTCAAGGAACTCCTTGACTTGCCACTTCTCGAAGTCAGCCTTCTCTGGGTCACATCGAACGCGAGCAGGCTCTCGAGGCGGAGGGCCTGTCACATCGATGTAATGATACGCAAGGTTGCCACGCCCATACGGGTCAGTATCGCTAGAGAAGCACTCAGCGTATTCACACACGATACTGTGCATGACCTCAGCCTGCGCCTTGGTCTGTCCGTATGGATCGTCAGGATACACGGGGATTTGAATTCTGTCCACGTGAGACAGATCCTCTTCTTGATATCGCTTTGCCCCCTTCTCTGAGAAGTGGGGACAATCACGGGCATCTGTATATGTCTCATCAGTTGGAGGGTCAGG